GCCACAACATTAGTAACAAAGAAACAGAATTTCCGGAGGATGAGGCCCAGAAATCAGGATTTTAAAAAGATTCCCAGGTGATTCTAATGTGCAGCCAAGGTTGAGAACCACTGCTGTAGGCATTCATAGCTTAGGTGGGAGATATAAAGACGGGTAAAAAACAGTACAATATGGTAAGCACTGTGTAAAGTTTTGTGAAAGCCAGAGGATAGAGTGACTAACTGTATATTAAGAAATTAAATATGACATTAAAAAAAAGAAAGAAAAAAATCAAGTAAATACAATAATAGAACTTTTTGAAGAAAGAATATAAACAATTCATGTCCCTCCTTCCATTTTCATGTTTATTAAAGTTATATATGGCCCAGCTGGTGTGGCTCAGTGGTTGAGCATTGACCTGTGAACCAGGAGGTTGTGGTTCCATTTTCAGTTAGGGCACATACCCAGGTTGTGGGCTTGACCTCCAGTGGGGGCCTGCAGGAGGCAGCCAATCAATAATTCTCTCTCATCATTGATGTTTCTATCTCTCTCTCCCTTTCCCTTCCTCTTTGAAATCAATAAAAATATATTTAAAAAATTAAAGTTATATTTGCTTATAGTTTAAAGAGTCAAATTTCCTCACTCTATCACCATTCCCACTCCCCCTGCCCAAGGCAACCCATTCTCAATTTCTTTAGCTGTATTTCTTTGTTTTAACTCAATATCTCTAAAAATTATACCTACATTACTATTATTGACTTTTCACATTGAATTAATGAGGCTTTAACATGTTTTCCTCCCTCTTCCTTGAATGCACATGCACACTTTCAATTATCCTAATCCTCCTAATAAAATAATACTATAATTTTAATATGATCAATATTTAGTATTTGCATTATTATGATTATGTAAAGCTATTCACAGTTGAGCCATGTAGTATTATTATATTATTATTTTTCCTTGCCCATGTCATATTTTGGTTTCCATGGAGTTAAAAATTACCTTTCATCCAGTTACTTAGTATCCTATGTATATATTAGAAAGTTAATCTAAATTATTCCCCAAACATTCCAACATAAGAGTTATTTTATTAACTTATTTTTCTTGAAAAATATTTTTTGGGCCTTTTGTCCTGAAAATACCTGACTACTTTTCTTTTAGTATTCAGCTATTGTTCTGAGATTCCACTTTATCAATTTCTGAGGGATTCTCTTTAATCTCCCCATGTTAGATCTCCTGGTACTTGGATCTTTGGCTTTTCTTTGTATTAGTTTCCTATTTTGGAGAACCATATTCTTCATTAGTTTTCTGAGAAAGGGTTTAGGAGTGGTATGTGAAATCTCTCTCTCTTTTTACTTGATTGAAAGTTTTGACTCAGTATAGAATTATGTGCTAAGTATTTTCCCACAGGATTTTGAAAACTTTTCTCTGTTGTCTTCCAGCTTCCAGCTTCCAGTGTTGACATTAAGAAGTCTGAGTTCATTCTGATTCCTCATTCATTGTATGGGTTAGTGTTCTAAGATTTTATGGTGGCAAACCTTGATGTGGATTAATTGTAATCTTTTCAGTTTGGCACTCAATGTACCCTTGTGTCTGTATGGATTAGTGTTCTAAGATTTTATGGTGGCAAACCTGGATTAATTGTAATCTTTTCAGTTTGGCACTCAATGTACCCTTGTGTTCTGGAAACTTGTGACCTTCAATTCTGGGAAATTAACATATTTGAATATTTTCTCCCCTTTATTTTTTCTCTTATATTTGTCTGAAACTCCTATTATTCATATGTTGGATCTCCTAGACTGGTCTTTTGTTTTCTTTTCTTGTTTAATCTCTTATTTTGGATGTTTATTCCTTTTCTTCTTCTTTTTGGTCTTTTTTTCACTTATTTCTGGGAAGTCTGTGTTGTACACTGCATTGGTTCTTGTTTTTTTTTTTTGGGAGGGGCAGTCAAAAGTTAGTGCACGTGTTAAAATCTGATACCTCTCCCCAAAGGGCTCATCCACTTTTTAAAGAAAAGTTTATAAAAATAAAGAAGCTGTTCTCCCTTAAACAATTGGGCAAAAATTTGATTGGTTAATCAAGAAAGCCAGCTGAAATAGGAAATCATAAAAAAGAGTACCCCCTTTACACATATTATTTTAAATTAAGTCATATGATTTGCATTTATTAGCCAATGTATTGATTTTGAACAATGCCTCTTTTGAGCATGTATCCATTGATTTGAATCCCATATTGTCTTTTTTTTGTATAAACTGTTATCGTAGTGCATCATATAAGAATAAAATTTTTGTAATTTTTTGTAATGAAAAATCATAAAGACCATTGTAAGACAATCTGAAAGAATAAGCCTTAATTAATTTTCTTAATTTTTTTATGATTGTATCATCTAAACTGAATTTAACAATTATTAGACATGTATGGCTACAGACTGAATCCCTCATGAATGGGATTAGGATCCTTATAAAAGAGTCTTCAGAAAGCTTCCTCACCCTTTTCCCACAGAGTACACAGTGAGACACTGAATCTGCTGGCACCTTCATCATGGACATCCTCACTTCCAGAGCTGTGAGAAATATATTTCTGTTGTTTATAAGATACCCAGTCTATAGGTTTTTTTGTTATAGTAGCTCAAACTAAGACATGCATCATTTTAAAATCTTTTTAAACATCAAGCTTAGTTTTAAAGAATATTCAATATATTTTTTACATTAGTTTACATAATATTTAATTGAACTTTATTTGTAATAACCAGTGTGACTAGAATAAGCAATTTTGAAATAAGTACAGCTGATTTTTAATAAGTATACAACTAGACTGATGGGAGAAGAAGTTGGTGGAAACTTGTTTAAAACACCTAACCTTGAGGTTTTGAGTCAGAAAGGAGTCCAATGATAATGAGGAGAGGCTAAAGACAATTTAGAGATGATGGGGTCCAGGTCCAGGGAGGACCACAGAATTAGAAAGATGCTCAGTGAGGAGGTTCACTGGAAATGAGTATCCCTGACTTATGATGTGCATGCAGCTCATGCCACTAATACGCGGACAAGAGTTTTGTGACACGAAAACTCTTCTAAATGACCAATAAATAAGGTCTAACAACTTATTAAGATCTAACTGTTTAACTGATTTGTTTGTCGGAAAAGTACCAATCCCATGTTATATGACACAACAATTTTTCCATTTCATCTTGAATATTAGAATTAGGATTCATTATTAATTTAGAGGATTAAGGAAAGAGTGTGTGGCTGTGGATGCAAACAGTGTTTAGATTGCCGTGTTTTACATAAATAATGTTGATTATCTGGAAACTTCAGCTATAATTTTTTACTTTGTCTTAATTCTATAAAATAAATAGTTGGGTTATTAAGTTTATAAAAGAATCAGCATTTGGATTTTGATAAAATTATGAAAAATCAACTGGGTGAATAGGTAAATAAGGCCAATTTAATTTTTTAGGTTTCAAGAGAGAAATGAAAACTTTAAAAAGACTCAGTTTTGTGATTAAAAATAGAGAACAAAATGCAGAACATTATGCTAAGTGAAATAAGCCAGTCAGAGAAAGACAAGTACCATATGATTTCACTCATATGTGGAATTTAATGAACAAACTGAACTACCAGGCAAAATAGAGACAGACTCATAGATATAGAGCAGGCAAACAGCTCTGGTGGAAAGGAGGTGTTGAGGTGGTAGGTGGAGGGATTGAGCAAAAAAGGAAAAAAACCCCAGAGAACTCATGGATAACCAGTGTGGTGACTGTGGTATGATGTGTGGGGTGTGTGGTGGGGGGGGAGGGAGGTGGTGGAGGTGTAAGAGGGCATAGAGGGGATAAATGGTGATGGAAAAAATAAAATAATATAAATAAAAAGCGAAAGAAAAAAGAACAAAATTTGTCTGCAATATAGCAACTGCTATAAACAGTATGTTTGAGTTTAATATTTTGGTTTGATTAGAAGGAGACATGGAGGGAAAACTGAGAAGAAATTGAAATTCATCAGGTAGAAAAGGGACAAAGGGAGAGACAGGTAGAAAGATGAACAAAGAAACAAAGGAAAAAGCAGAGTTGATTACAACCAACATAAAATAATGACTCGGCAATTGCAGAAATAGAACAAGACCTGGCCGAGCGGCTGGAGTGTTGGCCTAGCTTCCTCAGGCCTACAAATCCCAGTCAGAAATGACCAGCTATGGAGCCTGTACACTCATACATGAAAAATGCTTAGAGGATTTGATTTGATTCAGGAAAAACACCTCTCCCCTCTCACCCCTCCTTCCCCTCCCCTCCCCTCCTCCATCAACTGTACTTGAAGTCACAACTTCAAACTCCCTTTGAAAAGCTTTCCCTACTTCCTCTCACTGAGTTAGGATTGTTAATGGGACCATGTAGGGCAGCCTGTAGATAATTCTATGCTCATTGTGGCCAGCTGGGAAGGGCTGGGGTTTGTCAGAGACTAACATTTGGAGAATTGGAAAGGCTACAGAAAGATGGCTGCAGTTATATAATGAAGGACCAGAATTAATTTAGAAGCCGGAAGGGACCCTGAAAAAGAAAATAAAAATGGGAATTACAAATGAGTAGATTTTTGCCACTGGTAAAAATCTGGGTCACTGGCAGCTGTATTTTCCCATTTGTGCTTTTGTCTGGGACTTTGATTGCACAATTGTCTAATAATAAGTGTTCATCATCCGAGTCTAACAATAGATTTCATTCCAGAATACAATTGTTATATAACAAAAATTCAATGTGTTGGAGAAAAAGTCAATCAACACAGTTTCTGGCTTTGTATGCCTTTGTTTGTAGGGAGTCAGGCATAAAGGAGCATTTGTCATTCGACTTTTCTAGTGCGTTTCCAGCATACTGTGCCTTGGGCATGACACATCAGAGTCTGCTGTTCATCTTTTATTACCTGCCAGTCCCCTCTGGAAAGAGCCTCCATGGATTTCATCACCTACAGTGTTTGTTTCAGGTATACATATAAATACATGTGAATGCATTGGTTGGGGATATTGTGGTTTCCAAGGGCAACTTGAATAAAAAAGTGAGAGATGAATAATGAAGGGGACCTTCTGCAGGAGGTATGAAGTTAATAATTAAAATGTTATTTACCAAAATACTGACAGCAAAGCTTTCTGTTGTTGTCTGTCAGCTATTTGACTGTCAGTATGAATAAGGGCAGCATGGTTATACTTGTTTTATGTCTGCTTTGGAGAAGTTTGTGATGAAATGCTCTTCTCTACTGCACACTGAGTTTATAAAATATAATAAAAAAAACTTAATTTAGAATTTGCATTTGGAAAGCTCACTTAGTTTTAATAATCATTTCAAATAACTTCATTAGGCACTGAGTTTCAGAAGCATGAGGATGCTATAAAATTTTTATGCCTGTTTTGATTGTTATTAAGAACATCATCTTTGTTTTTCTCCAAGTGTTTGTCTCATCCTAATAAAAATGTTTGAGGTTAAGTGATTAAAATTGAGAGCTGTGGAGGCTTAAAAAAATTAATACTCTTCCTCTCACCTTCTAAGTTCTTCTAGCTGGGCTCATAATCAAATGAACAGAGAGATTAACAGGAGAATATCAAATTTTAATACACGCACGTAAGCATGAAAATTCCAAAACAGTGATGCAAAATTGGGTGTATATGACATTTTGGACAAAGAGAAAAGGTGGAAAAAAGGGGTATTAGTTACAAAAGTGAGAATGGGCTAGAACACACTTGGCAGGCAAGTTATTGTTAGGTAACCCAGAAACAATGGAACCAAGGGCTTATCTAGCTGTCAGGCCTCTGCCTGAAGCCCTCCTGCTTGCTTAATTCAAATGAGGCTAAACTGAAGCCTGAAATCTCTTTCCTGGAGCAGGTTTCTTTATCTGACTCTCTTGGGCAGGAAAAGGGGAAGGGCCAAGGTTCTTTCTGCATCTTTTTGTTGTTGTTGTTGTTTGTTTCCTCTTAATAAACAGCTTAAAATCAGTATAATAAAAAGACAGCTCCAGAGTGGCAAAACTTGGGTCCCTTTCAGACCACAGTTTCAAATGTTCAGCATTTTAAATAGGACAGCCCACTCATCTGCTCTAGGATATATTAAAACACTCAGTTGTCAATATGTAGCATTCTCATTATGTGTAATGTATCCGAGTTCTACTCTTGTTTTTCAGACAGATTATTCTGAAAAGCTGAAATGTAGACTGGGAGGAATGCTGTGTTCAGGTCTGGGAGAGTGTCAGTTTTCTTTAGATGAAATTAAGAAAATATAATGTAAGAAGCACACCTACTATGTGTATGGCACAGTGGTAGACCAATACACTGTTTGGAATAGTGTCATGCAGAGAAATAGACCTGGTCCTTACTGCTTCTTCATCTAGTGGAGAAGACCAATAAAAACCTAAGGAAACCCTGGCCAGTGCGGCTCAATTGGTTGAGCATTGTCTCATGCAACAAAAGGTCCCAGGTTCGATTCCTGGTCAGGGCACTTGCCAGGGTTGCTGGGCTTGATCCCCAGTAGGGGGCTGGTAGGAGGCAGCCAATTGATGTTTCTCTCTCACATCCATGTTTTTTTTTTCTCCCCTCTCTCTCCCCTTCTTTATCTAATCAATAAAAACAGATGTAGAAAAAAACCTAAGGAAGAATGAGGTCACTGACATGTATACTGAGTATAAGCAGTGTGCTTTGGTATGGAGACAAGAATAAGCGCACTTGCCATGAAAAAAGTGGGTAACTATGTGAAGAAGGGATTCACTGGAGTGATAAGCTGTGGCTTATCAAGTAGTGACCTATCATTGTCAGAGGCATCAAATGATGGCTATGTTTGTGTAAGACAACCAATTTATCTGCAAGTAAATTTGTAGCTGTAAATGATGGCTTAGAGAAAGAGAGTAATTAGTATGTACATCATCAGCTTTTTGAAATGTTGGTTTCTAATTAAATCGGAGTAAGTTTTGTTACTCCTGAGCTTATGGTAGAACTGTATTTTCTCCCCGACCCCATACAGTTTTAGCCAAGGATTCTAGGCAACCCAGCTTTTGCGAAAACTCTTAAGAGTCGTGCTATCTCCAGATCAGTCTAGATCAGTGGTTCCCAACATGGGGTACAAGTCCCACGGGGGAGGGAAGGATTTGATTTTTAAGGGGGGGCAATTAGAGAATGAGATATTAACAGTGAATTTTTTTGCATTTCTTATGGTTCTAGGGGCCTCATATACAGTTTATAAATAGATATTGTGACATATTTATGCATTTCAGTTCTTCATTATATGTTTTGAAATTTTATTTGCTATTTTTCATATCACCTCATATGATTATTAATTTAACAATTTCTTAGTGATTTCTTCTTCAGTACTTCAAAATTTTATTTGCTATTTTTTCATATCACCTCATATTATTATTAATTTAACAATTTCTTAAGTGATTTCTTCCTCAGTACTTCAACTGTCCTTTCATTCTTTTATTTTTCTCTGTATGGATGCCATGTTCTTTGGAAGCTTGTTTAGACCAAATTAATGGCCTTTTAGGCTTCCTCTATGTGAATAAGAGTTCACTTTTTGAATAATAAGAATTATATAAGGATTTTAGAGATGCTTAGGTGGGGCATGACCAAAAAAGGTTGGGAACCACTGGCCTAGGCCAATGTTGATGAACTCTTAGGAGAATAGAAAAAGTAACAATACGATTTTAGGGTACATGAATTTTCACAGCAAGAGACGTACTCTCTCTCCTTGATAACTGGGATGGAACATTATATTTAATAGATGTAATAAAGGTGATCCTTGGCGTCCACTTGATCCGACTCTCCACTGAATAACCTCCTTTGTGCTCTCCTGAGTAGGGCCATATTCTCAGGAAGAGAAAGTACATGAGAGGAGGGAAGGAGATGGTGTGTGACATTCCCAGTTAACTAATGTCTGGAAAAGGACAAAGATTGTGTTCCATACCAGATGCTCTGGTAATGTGAGCAGCAGCAGCATGAGCTTAACTGCAAAAACACGGCAGCTGAACAAAGGCTCAATGGATTCAGAAGGGCAGATAGTGTGTGTGAAGAAAATCCGCTAGGATGATCACTTCCCAAGCAGAACAAATTCATCGGCAAAACCTTCCATAAAAACGAACAGTTATTAATCTTAGATTTGGTATTTCAATAAAGAATATTTTACTGAGCTTCCCTATGCAAAGCAATGTCATAAAGTCATGCATTCAGCCAAATTCTTAGCAGTGCTGAACAGAAAATAGATTAAAAAACACATTCTTATCACCAAAAATAGACCTTATGGGTGTATGAGATTGTGAAATTGAGGGAGATGGCAATGTATCATAATAATTAAAATCTATTTATCAAAAACCTTGCGTGTGGCACTGAGCTAGCTGATATGTCAAGCAAGTTGGGTAAGATCTCTTCTCTGCCCTGTAGATGCTTATGACTCATCCAGAAAACACCTGCACAGGTAGACACAGAGAGCTGATGCTTCCACAGTGCAGCGGGAACGGATGCCACCTGGGGTGAGACCAGAGGTCCATCCCGCTCTGCAGCCTGTATCTGTCTGTGTGCCAGGGCACTAATGCAGCTCTGTGGGAGGCTATGGCCCCAACTTACTCTACTTTGCCTGCTTTATGCTATTTTCTGTGCAACTCTATAAAAACTTCCCGATTCTATCTTTATATTGTAAATGTGTTTTGTCTCTTAGGATTCAAAGTTTTGTTTTCAGATCTCAAGGTTTTTAGTTCATTTCATATTAATTTTTATTTACCTTAAATCCACCTTTTTTGAGTTCAAGTACCTCTCTCGATGTTAAAAATAGGTTTCTGTTTCATGTATAGTGGTTAAAAGACTGCTCACTGAAACCAGAATGCCTGTGTGTTGTGTTGTAGACTGGCCAGTAATATCTCCACTAAGTTTTCATTTTTATAGTCTTAAAGAGTTTTACACTTTTTCCTTTGCATAGTAAAACTTTATTTGCCTTTGGTATAATAATGATAACAATTATATGTGGTATACATTTATATAAACCCATATCCATTCTTTTATAGCCCATGAAGGTTTTCTTAAGGTACAGTGGCTGGAACTATATTTATTATTCTAGTTCTGGGCTTATTATATTTTTAAAAGATAGAATGCCTTCTCCCATCATATTTAAAATATTCTTTTTGATGAGGCCCAGTATTTCTATCTGCAGCAGCCCATTAGTTGATCTCTTTACCGACAATTCTGTTTTTGGATCTTATTTCACAGAACCCATTCTCATAAATATATATTATATACTTTATGTATATTTAAAAATTTCTGCAATATCTTAACCAGTGTCACCCCAATAAATTCAATAGAAACTAAAAAAAGAAAAAAATTTGCAAGTCTTCCTTACCCTTGAAGTATATTTGTTGCTTTTCTGCCTATCCACAAAGCTTTCAGCAATCACTTTGATCCTCTCTATACAAGATAAATATAATTTTAGCTGCAAAATCTTAATTTCTCTGAAAAATATAAGGATTTATTATTCAATTTACTGATGAAAATGCTAAATAAGACCAGGGCTAGTACCAAGCTCAGGGAATTCACCAAATTTTTAGCATCCTTTGTTATTTAGCTTCATCTTATGTAAATAACATGGTGCTATATCTGTAGAAAATAAATCTTTTCTCTTTTGTGAAACGACTGGTCAGGAACATTTTCTAATACAGAATGTTCTGTGGCAGACTTTGCATGGCCTTGCCCCAGAGGTGGGATTTGCCCTGGGCTTGGTGCTGCTACTGTGTATTTTATCATCTTGCTGGGATGGACAAGGGATCCATCCCACCATTTACCATGTGGCACTTCTTTCACACAGAGGCTCTTTGTAATGATAGTTTCTCAATAATTCTCGGATGGATGTGGATATATAGGTGGAGCAGTGTCCCACCTAATCTCCCAGCTTGGACCTAGGTTATTTTATGGTAAAAGTGCTGGCATCTCTGGTGGTAGAACTGGAAACTATCTGGTGATCCCTGACATTGGACTATCTCACCCCTCCACAGATGTGCTTGAAAATGAGAAACATGACACTTTTCCAAGTAGCCCATCCTTTTAATTTCATTTCTTAATGTTTAGAAATA